ACAGTGAATCGAGGCACGGGATAAGATAGGATTTATCAAGACGGGCGAGATATGGACGGCGGCCACTTAACATAATAGAGAGATCCTTCAGATATGGGCGGCGGCCAGTTAATATAATCTGAAGATTTGTGGGAGATAATCCCCCACCTAAGACCGACTGATCCAGAGTTCTTGCCCCTGAGTGTAGACACATTGTGGGTGAATCTAATTGGTTAGCCAAAGCTTTTCCCTCCAAGTTTAATTAACGGGTTGGGAGTGAAAGGCAGATTGGGTCTGTCCCTGGTAAGCTGGGGGTGTAGGTCAAGTAGAGTAGGGTTAGGGTCAGACCTAGCCCTGTGAGGAGAATCAAAATGAGGTTTTCTTGTCTGGAGTTTTTTTTTAAACTACATCCTTTTTGTAGACTTCAAGTTCAATAAGACAGGTAAAGTAGAGTTTGCCATAACTGAGTTCCATAATAGACGTTCTGGAGTCCCAAACCTGAATAGGCTACTATGCTGAAGAATCTTCAAACAGAGGCGTGCCTAAGCATTGTCGTAAACGGAATTAGGTTGAGGGGGGGGGGTCATTTCTCTAGGGTTGACATCCCAGAAACCTATGCCGCTCCTGCACAATATCCTGCAGTGTTAGGGAGTGGATTCAGGTTTACATCAGACTCACCTGAATGGGCTTAAAGTTCCTGTTTACCCCAGACTCACCTGAGTGGGCTTAAAGTTCCTGTTTACCCCAGACTCACCTGAGTGGGCTTAAAGTTCCTGTTTACATCAGACTCACCTGAGTGGGCTTAAAGTTCCTGTTTACCCCAGACTCACCTGAGTGGGCTTAAAGTTCCTGTTTACCCCAGACTCACCTGAGTGGGCTTAAAGTTCCTGTTTACATCAGACTCACCTGAGTGGGCTTAAAGTTCCTGTTTACATCAGACTCACTTGAATGGGCTTAAAGTTCCTGTTTACATCAGACTCACTTGAATGGGCTTAAAGTTCCTGTATACCTCAGCACTTAGACAAGCGAAATCTACACGTAAACACCCTAGGACGATGAATGATCGCCTTCAAATACCCTTTCGTTTAAATCAAATCAAATCAAACATCTAATGGCAAATCGATACCGTTTTACTGGGGACTGGCTTGCTCACTGCATGCCGAACAATAGCTTTTCTTGGCGCAACTCCCCAGGGGCGGGTGGGTGGAGGTGTGTGTGGGGGGGGGGGGGGGGGTTACCTCATTGCCAGCGTACCCTTGGCCGTCCTCCGATCAGACGAGTGAAGACAACACGACGTCTTTTTCCCGCCAATTGTTCCTGACGTCTGCATGACTCCAGCAACAACGTGTACCAGATGACCGTGTGGGGGGGGGGGGGGGGTGAACAGTCAAGTCATTATTCTGAGCACGGGGAGGAGGGGGGTCCATCTCAAGAAAACAAGCCACAAACTCTCAATCGTTCAAATAGTATATATATATATATATATAATGTAAAACAATAACACCAACAGTTTGTTTTATCAGAAATTTATTTAATTTTTAGGAAAAAAATTGGAATGGAGAGTAAAATTTTAGAGAAAATACTTGGAAAGCGAAAGTAAATACGTCATATAGCCGTAAATACACGTCATACAGCCGGTAATACATGTCATGAAGATGTAAATAAATGTCATAAAGCTGTAGGTACAAATATAAAGCTGTACAAAGATTATTTAAAATAGAATCGTTATATTACAAAATGAAATACATAGACACCGAAAATAAGTGTAATGTTCATAATTCGATCATGACAAATAGATGCACAGAACTGCACACAGATGAAGCATGAAAATAAAATTACTAAGTCATTTTTTTTTTATACTCAGTAACTTGCCCCTAATTGCATCTCAGCCTTGTAAGTTGAATTAGGTTGCTGACAGAGGGGGTGGGGGGGGGGGGGGGGTATATCATTGTGCTCGAGGCTGCATGGTGCCTCATCACACTGCTGATATTGTTTACCAGCGTTGAATGAAGATCATTCAAGCGGAAAACAATTTGAAAATGACTTTTTTTTTTCCTAGATCGACTTTTATTAGCTCCTCGCACAGCCAAGGGAAGTAACACAGTTAGGCGGGCAATACAAGGGAGATTATCAGGTTATTTTTTTTTTATACAAGAGGTTGTGTTTCTCTGAGCATTGTTTCACTCCACACATCATGGTCAAACACACACACACACCAGCACACATTCACATACCAGATCATAGGCACGACCATCTTAGATCAACGCACATACACACAACTTTAAACATCACACCAATTGAATTTAAAAGTAAGTTATTTACTTCTAAATAATTATGTTATCAGGTTTATACACATCGCAAAACTTTTATTTCCAACATACATACTTGACAAATTTGATTTTACACAAGAAATGACTACACATACACCTTTAAAGATAGCATACATACGTTTTACACAAATACCAGACCAAACTACACATACAATATGTACACCATGCACACACAATTTATACACCATTGCAAATACAATATATACACCGTACATATACACACTTGAATTAATTCAACGGCCTCAACTTTCTGATACCGCGAGACCCCAACACTCCAACACTCACCACTACACTCTGACACAATGACACCAGGACACCCCGACACCCCACACCCTAAGACCCAAACACCCTAACATCCTGACACCCCAACACTCTGACACTCACCAATACACTCTGCCACCACGACACCATGACACCCTAACAACTTGACGCCCCACACCCTGATACCCAAACACTCTGACACCCTAACACCTTGACGCCCCACACCCTGATACCCAAACACTCTGACACCCTAACACCTTGACGCCCCACATCCTGACACCCCAACACTCTGACACCCTAACACCTTGACACCCCACACCCTGATACCCAAACATTCTGACACCCTAACACCCTGACACCCCAACACTGACACCACTACACTCTGTCACCACGACATCCCGACACCCCGACATTCTAACACCCCTACACATACATAAGCACCATTTGAAATGTACAATGCCCACCCAATCAAGAGAATTAATCTGTTGTTGTGTGGTAACTAATTAGTAATCAGGAAAGATTATTAATTACATTTTATTCAACTCCACTTGTTAACGATTAAAAATAGCTTTAAAACATATAGATTATAAAACATTAATTTTTGGAATCAAATCAACGGGAATGCAGAAGAAACACAATAAATAGATGATTACGAATTCACAGTGAATTACCTGAAAATTCCAATATTCACACATTACAAATATTGTGGAACGATGAAAATAGACCACAAGCAAACAGTCATGCATAATATACACATAAACAATACACCATCAAGACTTGAAATGATTAAAATTTTAACATGAAGTTGCACAACTAAAGCCATTTTTTCAGTGCTAATCTCATGCCAAGAGTAGCGATTGGATACATTTTGTTTTGCTTACTTAGGCCCATAGTAAGAAAGAAATGGAGCTTTTTGCTGTAAATGTATTGAATTTATTGAAGAGCTGGTTTTAAAAATGACATTATTAGTCAGTGGAGATTTAAACATATTACATCTATCCAAAGTGACACAATTTTAATTACGTTTAATTTTAAAAAATACTTAACTATTAAAAAAAAATTACAGTTGGGTTTATTCAACAAGACCAACTATCATTAAAGTAATGAACGAGATACCATATGTAAATATATGTAAATATATGCATGTTACTCCAGTCAGCAGGCACCGTGTTTGTTTAGATATGTTCGTCAAGCTGTTTCATTGAGATAAGCACTTGACGTGATAAACAGTGAGCTAACTACACAACCCTGTCTGATGTCTGAGATACAGCCCCTGACCCACCTGACCACACAACCCCTGACCCACCTGACCCATACAACCCCTGACCCACCTGAGTGACCACACAACCCCTGACCTACCTGACCAAATAACCCCTGTCCGGTGTCTGACAAACAACCCCTGACCCACCTGACCCACACAGCCCCTGACCCACCTGAGTGACCACACAGCCCCTGACCCACCTGAGTGACCACACAACCCCTGACCCACACAACCACTGACCCACCTGACCCATACAACCCCTGACCCCCTTAAATAACCACAATTCCCTATTTGTCAGCCAACACATTAATGGATTGAAAAAGGCAAGACATTGAGTAGAATGTTTTAACACAAGAAAGTTAAGTCAAACACTACACACTTTGGTAGCTAATTGTCAGTTTCGTCACAAAAAATCGAGTTTTTAATTTCAAGAAGACAAAACTACGACAAGTCACATTTTATAAATACCATAAGTGTTTAATAATGCAAAGTTAACCGAATGCCATTTGAAAATGTCAAATAAAATGTTAACACATCTACTTGATATAAGGAACCACAGCTTCACTGCTTCATAGCCGAATTCGATATTACAAAATTGAAAATATCAGGCCAATTTAGGATACATTTTGTAACGATCAAAACATATGTAAATTACAAACAATGATGCTAAATACAGTTGGGAGTGGTCTCGCGATTCTTGTATTTGTGTTAATGTTATTTGGCAATGTTTGTTCTCTCCAGCGTGTACTGTTAAGGTTTGAATTCCTGTGTGTGATGTTTTAATGTAGCATTTACTTCATGCGAAATTCACTTTTGTTAAATACTATAAAGCTGTCAGTGCAGCCGACATTTTGAAATGAGTGGGGTGTCTCTGTTACGTCCCTTTGGCTTTAGACTTGTTTATGATTCAACTGCTTAGATTTTGTGTTTTGGGGGGGGGGGGGGGGTGGGATTGTTGGTTTGTATTTGGTGTGCATCGTTTGATTCCAGAGAGATTTGCAGTGATTTAAAGAATTCTACAGTAGGACATACCCACATAGGACCCAGTAGGAAATACAGTAGGACATACCCAGATAGGATCTATTCCCAGTAGGACATACCCACAGTAGGACATAAGAGTTTTGGCCGAAGTGAACATCTAGTTTCTGATAGGGTTGGACCCCAACGTAGGGGGCTACAGTATTGAAGCCGGCGCCCCAGGGTTCCTCTTGTTGGGGTGGCGCCCCAGGGTCCGTGTCTTGTTGGGGTGACGCCCCAGGGTCCGTCTTGTTGGGGTGTATGGTGCCAGGCACTGGTGGAATCAGAGCGAAAGGTCAGACTAACCTAAATCTCTGCAAGATAACAGATTGCGAGGGTGGCCGTCAGACACGCCCCTTTCTCCGAGTACAGTTTACCGGATGTCGCATCCGATGGTCAGAGTCAGTATTTTTGGCGATTAGCACAGTTGCGCGTGTTTCGACTCACGCGGAGGTGATGGAGTCATTGAGGTTGTCGGAGTCAATGGTGTAGCTCCCAGAAGTGGTGGTGTTGCCGTCGTCATCGTCCACGCTCCTGGGCAGGCTGATGTACAAGCCCCCCACTTCCGGTAGGAGGTTCTCGTACCCCGGCCCGAAGGGTGACCGCCTGCCGAAGGTGGACGCCTCCTCCCTCTGACCCCGGCTCTGATTGGTCGAGAATGTCACGTGACGGTTGGTGCCAGAGTTTTTGCTGGATGGCACCTGCGTGAGGCTGGTGTAGGCGGGTCCAGGCCGGGATGACGGATGGACCTTGTCGCCGTTGTAGGGGTACGTCTGGGTCAAGGCCGTCTCGCCGTGGAGCGGATGTGACGTGGCCACGGGATACAGCTTGATATCCGGTCCGCGGAAGCTGGTTAAAGATGGCATCGTCCTGTAGTCTGATTTGATTGGCTGGCGACTCAGGTTGTTTAAAGGCAGCGTTGTTATTGGTCGGTATTCTACGGCGTGTTTCGGGCTGCTATGGTTACCTGAAGGGGAGATAAAACAATAATTATTTAAATAACCGCAGGGCGATAACTCCAAACACAATAACTGAAGGGAGATAATTATAAACATAAACAAAATTACTTCAGGGAGAAAATTATAAACACAACAACTTCAAGGAGATAACTCCAAACACAATAACTGCAGAAAGATAATTATAAACACACACAAATGCAGGGAGATAACTACAAAAACAATAATTACAGGGAGATAACTCAAAACACAATCATGTAAATAAATCTGTATCGAAATTATCTAAAGTTTACTTCGCATTGTAAATACCACGTGATAAGCAATTATTAAAACCACGAGAACGGCAAAGCTGACTGCGTGGAAAATGATTTAATGGAGGCAGCTAGCGATGACTAGGTAGCTAGATCTAGATGTAAAAAACGAAACAGCGGAGAAATAATTGTCTGCGATTGGAGCAATTGCTTTATAATGACCTGTGACGACTTGGGGCATCCAATTTTATTTTCAATTGTCTGGATCAAATGTGGATTAGCTTTATGGTTGATTTTTTTTTCTTTATTTTTTAAAAACAGAGAAATGTGAAAGTTGTTTGAGTCAGTCTCTGAGATAATGTGCTGATATCACGACTCTAAACCTCCCAATAATGTGCAAGTATGTCTTGTTGCGGGGACGGAGTGGTCTAGCGGTAGAGAGCTGGACAGCTATCCCGTAAGTCTCGAGTTCGAATCGGGGTTCAAGTCAGTAGATCGTCCCTGAGTCCACCCAACTCTGATGGGTACCTAACTCAAGTTAGGGAAAGTGAAGGCGGCTGGACATAGTGCTGACCACACTCTCTCTTCTTATGCCGAGGTCACAGAAACAAGTGAACTCTACTTCACTTGCCCCATAGACCGTCAGGTTTGAAAGGGAAACTTTACTTTTATTTTATGTCTTGATGCTGCACATCCCAATATGTGCAGATGTGACTGGATCGTACACCACACAATTAGGTGTAGGTATGACTGAATCCTACACCTGTCAACCTTTACGGCCATCACGTGATGGATTCCGTACGAAGCCCGCGGCCAACGGCTCCCAGTAAATAGTTTAGGGCCAACAAAAGCTGCACTCAGTTCGGCGTAAAATGCTTCTAGAAGCTTCCTGGTGTTGGTGTCATGCTACATTTGTAGCCCGCTACACAATCATTGGGATATAATCCAAAACGAGGCTGTGACTGTACTCCCCGGGGAGAGACGGGATATTTTACTAGTGTAGGCGGGAGGGGGGATGTAATCTCGCTGAGAGTGGGGAGGGGGGTTGTTCTGGTTGAGGGGCGGATATTTGTTGAGTGGGGACAAAAGCTAGACCGGAAGAGAAAACTTGCAACGATACTGACGACGAGAGTTTGACGATGATAGTGACGACGATAGTTTGACGATAGCAACGACGATATTTTGATCACGACGCTGCTCCGATGAATATCAAATGCAGTTAGAGAAAATTAGCATACTCATAGAATAACAAGTCTATTTCATTTTTTAAACCGCCAAACGAGTAGCTTTGAAATATAAAATACAGCCTATGTAATAAAAAATAGATAAAAAAAATTATCTCTGAGAATCCCACTAACGAGATTAATTTTCTCGGCGAAATTCGCCCGAAGCTTAACTTTTTTAAAAATCTACATGTAGATGCCTGTAAATACACGAAGCTAATGTATAGTTTAGATGTAAAATTGGTCTCGTTATAGATAATAATAGTGGTGTCATACACTGAACTCTTCCCATACAAGAAGGTAGATGTTGCTCAGTGTAGGAACGGTGACTTTCGGTTGTTAGTTGTCATCTAGTTCACAAAGAACGGAAAAACCCTATAATTTGACAGATATAGAAGCCTGTGATCTTTGCCTCAACAATGTTTGTGTCTTTCAAAAAATAAAATTGACTTCCTTTATATCAGTTTTTTGTGTCATCTTTGTTTTTCTGATAGGCAATCTAGCAGTCCTAGATCAGCGGTTCTCAGCATTTGTCATACCCGGCTCTAAAAGTGGAGCTTTAGCTTTCGCGAACTCAAATCTTATCAGTGTATCACATATGACGCCCACAATTTGAGCTGATTTTGTATCTGAGAGTTATGTCGGCTAATTATGTATATCTGTGAGTATGCCGGCTAATTCTGTATATCTGTGACTTATGCCGGCTAATTCTGTATGTCTGTGACTTATGCCGGCTAATTCTGTATATCTATGACTTATGTGGGCTGATTGTGTATGTATATGACTTTGTTTTTAAAGTTGTATGGATATGTCATGTTCACTAATTTTTAATTCATATGCTATATTTAATTAGTGCTTATAATTGTCAATTTTACTCGAAAAGTCGTGTACTTTTGTCGAAAGGTAAACGTTATCAAAACACTGTTGCTATTTATTTATTTTTCATTTTCCCCCAAATTATGTCTGGTACTCTTTATTACTGAGCGAGCTCAGACGATCTATACTTAATTCGGCTTGGTTGAATCCCCAGCAGTACGGAAGGGTCACCAGTGTGTGTGGGGGGTGGGAGGAGGGGGGTCACCAGTGTGTGTGTGGGGGGGGGGGGGGGGACAAGCAAAGATTCCAGCAATAAATGTTTAACCAAATGACCAAGTCATTTAGTGCACCGTGTAATAACTGCCTGCTCGCTGTTTAAAAATTCAGCTTTATGACCTGCCCCTGCCCACATGACGTCACTTCCTCCGAGGGGGCCGCCCCCCAACTGCAATAACCACAAATCATTGTTAAGTCACCCTCGGATCATTTTCATCTGGGGATTTTTTTTTTTAATTTGATTCCCAACAACCTTCTATTTACAAGTCAAACTGGGATAGTGGGGAATATGGGGGAGTAGGGGGGGGAGCTATACGGGGGTGGGGGCGACACGACTGCTCTTTGCAGAAGGAAAAAAAACAGCGATATTTTTAATGCAGGTTATTTATTCTATTTAATTAGCGGGCTGGAGAAGCCTGGCAAGGTTTGTATACACTGCATAATGACGTCATTAACCCCATAGAGTTGTAATGATATTAACCCTTGTCCTAATCCAGTCGAGCAAGGGAGAAAACCCCTCGTGTCAAATTAACTCCCTTGCCATTGTGGAGCTCTGTTACAATTTATTGTCAGTTGAGAGCATAATCGGTGGCTCGCAGAGAAACACCCGGCAAAATGTGCAGAAGTTAAACCTTGTGATGACCGAAGAGAGAAGAAGTTAAACCTCGTGATGACCCCAGAGAGAAGAAGTTAAACTTTGTGACGACCGTAGAGTCGTAGAGAGAAGAAGTTAAACCTCGTGATGACGGTAGAGAAAAGAAGTTAAACCTCGTAATGACCGTAGAGAAAAGAAGTTAAACCTTGTGATGACCGTAGAAAGAAGAAGTTAAACCTTGTGATGACCGTAGAGAAAAGAAGTTAAACCTCGTAATGACCGTAGAAAGAAGAAGTTAAACCTTGTGATGACGGTAGAGAGAAGAAGTTAAACCTTGTGATGACCTTAGAGAGAAGTTAAACCTTGTAATGACCGAAGATAGAAGAAGTTAAACCTTGTGATGACCGTAGAGCGAAACGTCAAACGTTTGGAATGTTGTAGATGATGTGTTATGTGCTCACCAATTGAGGCAGACGTGCTAAAACACGTGAATTACAGGCTGGTGCTAATGTGTCCAGTTCGGGTCAAACTTGAGATATGAGCTTTATGCACTCAGCTTTAATAAATACCAGGCATGGTTTGGATGTGTAAGTGCCCGAACTTGCAGCAACCTTTGACCTTTTCTGACACTACGCCAAGTATAAATGGACGCTGCTGACCAAGCGATTAGTCCTTGACCGTCGTGTATCAGTTACTTGTGGAGGAGCTTCTGTAGGAAATAGCCGGATTTTTCCGGCACAGCTAAATATAGAAATAATTTCTACCAATGACCGGTACAACAGATATTTTAAATCAATTGATGGCCTAACTTTTCAGCCAGTGTTCATTAAATAACCGACTAATTAAAACGTCGAAAATCTCAACTGACCAACTTTATTTTAAACGCCATTACGACCAGTGTGAGACAGAGGTACGGTCTGTTTATCTAGCGGGTGTTTAGGGACGGGGGCGAGGGCGGCAGACATAGGTGGCTAGGGTGCAAGAGATATTCAACGAGGAGTAGTGTCTACAAGTTACATAGACCAGTCTGTTGGAGTAGTGTCTAGGGGTTGTGATATTAGTTGAGTGTAGATACATGTAAGATTGTCATACATCCTTTGTCTCTTAAATGGAATAGAATGGGTAGTGGTACGGTCTGTGTATCTATCGGTTGGTATTGAGGTTAGGGATGGGAGAAGGAGAAAGGGGTTGCGGACAAAGGGAAGGGGAAAGGCGAATAGTGATAAAAATAACTCACCCAGCCCCTTAATCAATAAAAATTATTGATTTGTACTTTAGAGTGATTAGATTGTATGATATGTATGCTAACGTCATATCATATTTAGTTTTTACGTCATTATATTGGTGAACTTTAAATGTAGACATTTTAAACGGTGTGTCATTTGACACGACGTACTATAACGTTGTTGTTTTTTAAAACTTGAAGTTTATAATCTTAAGCAAATTTTTACTAAGGTGATCAAAAATTAAGATGACAATGTAAGATATAGAAAAACAAAATACATTGAGTGGTAAAAATAATAAATTGTCATTAGACGTAATGAATTATGTATAAGTAAACTTTCTTAAAAATTAAACAAGTTCAAGTCAAAAAGAAGTTTGATGAAAACTGTAATACTAAAGCGAACATGGGAAGGTAATCTGCTGGAAGACTAAGATATATATTCGTCTTCCTTCTAGGTTCATTGCCTTTTTTGGTTGAGGTTAAACATCGCCATGTTTTCAAATATCGCGATGTACGTCACGTTCTCTCCCCTCTTACCAAGTAATCGCTTCCTCTACCTATTGTTTACAACACGCTTACAAAGAAAAAATATCCCACCCCTCTACTTGAGACATAAAATACAAAA